TTGTGTGCTACATGGTTATACTAAAAAGATACCAAATATTACAGAAATACCAGAAATTTCGAAACAAATGTTTTAAAAACGGTATGTTAAAAATGCAGTATTGAAACCTTTTTTAAATTTTGAAAAAAATGTTTATTACAAATAATAACTATTTTTTAGGCACATTTCTTTAAATTATAAAATGTTTGAATATAATATTTAATCAACCCCAAGATCCATTTTGATGTGGCACATGTCGTCTTCAATCTCCAGATTTCCGCAGACTGACACTTTCTCCGAGTCTCAGACTCCCTTCCCCCAAACACCTCAGTGAATCTCCCTTTAGTTCCCTCTGGCTTTTCAGCAAACTCAAGCACATGTTGTGTGCCAACTTCTTGCCTGCTTCAGATGGGAGAAAAAGTTGCCGTATCATTAAAGCCGACGCTTCGTTGTTTACGCATCGGCACAAACAATAACAGAGGCACAGACAGCTACAGATACAGATACAGCTAAAGATTCAGATACTGAAACGGCAACGGCAACAAACTCATTTGAAGTGCATAGATCAAAGTGACCGAAGAGGCGCCAAGGCAGGAGTGTTGATACTGCGGGATTTCACTGTTTTTTCATTTTTGGACCCGGTCGGTTGGTTGGTTGGTCGTCTCTGACCTCAGACAACCTGGCACACGTTGTGGGAGATTTGTTTTCAAATCGAAATTGCCAAATAAATATGAAAAACGTGACTTAGCTCTGAGGTCTGAAAATACTCCACAGACTTTTGAGCTCGTAAACTACATTTTTAAATACTTGTGCCCCATGGAAAAGATTAAATAGTGAAATTTACCTAAGCCACTTTTTAATTTTCTCTCTGATTAACCTCAATTCCCTTTGGAGAAACCACAAAAGGCAGCTGCCCTGGGTTTCGTATTTCCGGTCTGTAACGTGGCTTTTAAGTGGAAACTGATTTATTGTATTTTCGCCCTTTGAATAGTTTACTAATTAGACAAATATTTTACATTTTAACAATAAATCAAGCTTGAAGTAGATAAAAACCTTTAAGTATTTCGGGTTTTCCGTTTCATTTTCCGCTGTCGCAACACCTTTATAAACATTTTCGCCAAGATATTTATGAGAGTCTTTGCCGTTGCAAAATTAATGCTTAATTTAAGCGTCAGAAAAATAATTTGCCTGCATTTTTTCGATTTACCCAGCCGTTGGCAAGGGGGCCGAATAAAAAAAGCATGAAACAAGTTCTTCATAATCAGATTTAATGAAAATTGAATAATAAATACTATCAGGCGTGCAATCGGTTAAGAAAAAAATGTCTGAAAACTGCCGCAATATTTTGCCTTAATGTTTTCAAACACCCAGAAGCTGGCTACTCGAAAACGTGGCTAAATGTTAGGGAATTAATGTTTTGTTATGAGTTAGATGAATGCTGTGAGATAAAATTCCTATTATTTTTGGCTAAGGCTGTTGAACTTGGCTTTTTGCCATTTAGGATTTAAAAATATTCGGTTTTTTGTGACTAATTGTGGGAGTTATTTTTCGTAATGGTTCAAGTTTCGTGAGAAATATAAAAATAAATATTTTTGAAAAGGTAAAATATAGTAAATCAAATGGTTTCCAATCTAAAATTTCACAACGCCAAGTTCAGGCACCACACACAAACAAATGGCCCTCGACCAATTGAACTTTAATCCATAAATTTCAACAAATTTCAACCTCAACTGCCGTAGGCTTAAAAAGGCAGCTTAATGTCGAACTGAAATTGCGTCTGAGCCGACAAGATTGACACTTGCATTTGTCATTCGGCTCATTTGCTTGTTTGTTGTTAGGGTTTGTTGTTTATCCGTCCATTTGCTTTGCTAACAACAAGTTTTGTTACAGTATTTCTCTACAGTTCCAAAACTAACCTCTTTTCCTGGGCCACCCCTCGATTTTGTCTTTGTTTTTTCCTGTTTTCTGTTTATGTTTTTTTTTTTGTGGTTTTTTTCTTCTGTGATTTCGGGCTTTATGTGCAATTAGCGAGCGCATTGTTTGTTTGTTTTGTGTGGCACGTTTCATTGTAATAAAAAAAAAAAATTGCCTTTTTGCCCGCGACATGTAAGATTTGACTTGGCCAGTTCCATGCTCTCGAACTCCAATGTTCATATGTAGGTGTTTCAGTCGCAGTCTTTCTGTCTTTCGAGTCGCGCTGGAAGATCTAAGACTCTGAAAATGTCAATATTTACTGCTGCTAACCAGCCAGTTGATTTTTGTTTCGTTTTATGTTTGCTGACTGCACATGGGTTTATGTTAATGACTATGTGAGATTCTGATGCGGTTTTCATTCTCTACAGGGAGTCTGGGTGGTTGTGCGGTAAATCACTGACCGTAAAATAATTTAGGTCATAGAAATAAGAAAAAATGATTTTTCGAAAATTATAATTAAAAAAGACTATAAACATCCTTGTCTAAATAAAAGGTCACTTTAAACAATTTAAATGCAAAATATTTACCCAATATAATACCAGTTGATTGATTAATCCACCTCAAATTCATGGCATTCAAAATTTGAATAAATCATTCATAACTGTGGGGAATAATTGATGAACCCTCCAATTCACATGCAAGTCAAAAATTTGCATAGTTCGCTGGGGCATCTGTCCTCTGTGAGTTCAGTCAGAGAGGCCGATATTCAATGGCGTTCGAATAGCAAATGGAACAAGCCCCGTTTGGCATCCGATCAAAAAGCGGGGAGAATGTCATCAGAGCCTCCTGCTGGGCGCCACTTTACACACCAATAACCAAAAATGGCCTAAAGGCTGTGACTGAGATAGCCACAACTGGCTCGTCTGTTTTCCTCCGGTTCGATACACATAATGCCAGATTCGTGCTGGTTTGGGGCCATGTCTGCTGGATCTGGGATGCCATGGAAGCGCTGCTCTGCACCTCTCTCCAAAATGCTAATTGAACGCCAGGCAGGCGCCAAATGTGTGTCCACCACCAGGGACAATCTATCAATGGTAGCGCGGTAGCCGCACTAAAGTCTCCGCAAAAATATCTTTTATTTTTCCACACCAACTTAAAGTGTGTAATTTGGTTTGCTTGCAAATTTGTTGAGTGATTCGATAAGCCAAAAGCCAACAAAAAAAATCAATTGGGAAAAGAAAATCAATAAATTTTAGCAGCTGGTGGAAAAATGAATTTATACATTTTCTCAATTGATTTTGCATTTGCAAAATCTATTTCTTGAACAAGTTTCCATATATTCATTTAGTAGAGAGCCTGTCAACTTATTCGAAGCACAAACTTGCCGAATACTTGACCATTAACAACAACCCAGTGTGGAAAACAACTTGCAATCAAAATATTTGTGCATTACATTTGAAATATTGACACTTGGAAATGATAAGAAAAATGTTTGACAAGCCGTTGATTGTATTTTCTTAATGGGATTTATTTATATTTTGCGTATCACTCAGTGATGAAAAACTAATTGGCAGAAAGACAATAATATATTTTCTTAATTTTGACAGTTTGAAAAAACGTTTCAAACTCGTTTTATGTAATCCTAAGTTTTGAAATAATAAATAATAATTATTATTTTCATAATTGGAAATAACCTAATCAAAGTAATCCCTTGGCTCATTATAAAATCTGGCATCGCATCTTTATTTCCTTATAGCAATCCTTTCAATTTTATTTCTTCGAAACAATAATTTGAAATTACCTAATCAAAGTACTCCCTTGATTTATTATAAAAACTGGTATCGCATTTTTTTTTTCTTTATAGCAGGGACCGAAAATAATGATTATTTTTTTTGAGTAAAAAATAAAAATCTCCATTTAATGATTATTTTGTAAGCAAAAAAAATATCGCTCAGAAATAATGATTATTTTGTGAGCGATATATTTCGCTCAAAAATATCACTCAAAGTGGGATTGCATCCGTCCTACGCGGAATTTTACGAAGATTTAAATGTGCTCTTGTAGGTAGAACCACGAAGCACATATTTCGTTAAGAAAAAAATAAATTTTCTTTGTATAAACCGCTTAAAAAAACAAAAAAATCTTTTTGTATAAAAAAACTTTCTGTGGGAATCGAACTCGTGCTTACAGCTCGGTGGACCAACACACTAACACCCAGCCCACATGTCGGGTTGTATCTAAGTGGAATAGTTCATAACATCTTGTTAAGTCGTTTTACTAATAAATAAATGACATAAAGTTCTAAGGTTGATACAACTTTTTGTATTTAAGCATACCTCTTGTCAACTAAAAACCGCGTTTTAAAAAGTTTATACAAAGAAATCACTTTCTTTTATTAACTCGATGTGTGCTCCGTGGTTCTACCTACAAGCAGAAATTTAAAAGTTTGTAAAATTCCGTACAGAACGGCTGTAATCGCACTTTGAGTGATATTTTTAAGCGAAATAATATCGCTCACATAATAATCATTATTTCTGAGCGATATTTTTTTCGCTTACAAAATAATCATTAAATGGAGATTTTTATTTTTTCACTTATAATGATTACGGTCCCTGCTTTATAGCAATAAATTCAATCTTATTACATCTGTATTTCTTTATAGCAATTCTTTCAGTACTTATTTTTCTTAAAAAAATCTTTTTGTCTAGTCCTGACTTTATTTCAAGTTGTAATTTGAAATAACTCAATCAAAGTATTCCCTTGGCTCATAATGAAAACTGGTATTGCATCTTTATAGCATTTTATAGCAATCCTCATCGACACCTTTCAAATCACGCTGCTGCTCACCAAAATTGAAGTCAATTGCTTTGACCAATTAGGCAGGCTTTCTATGCGCACCGCCGCTGGGGGTAATTATTGGACCACGACTTGGACAAGGCGATGAAGGCGCCAGTCGCGGACTTGGCATCCATTTAGCCGCATTAAATGCCATAAACTGCTGTGAATGCAGTTTTATTAGCGTAATTAACACCTATTGCTGGAGTCTACTGGAGTGCTGACAATTAAATGGCTAAGGAATCGCCGGAGCCTCGCGAGGATTTGCTTACCACGTTGCCTGGGGCGCGGGGTCGTCGTGGATCGCAGCGGTATAAAGTGCTGCTGTTGCGTATAGACCGGCATTCCCGATCCGGAAAGCAGGCCCGGCGGACAGGGCGGTATTGGGCCCAAGTTGCTGTAGACCAAAATGTTTTGGCCCGGCTGAATGACGAGATGTTGCTGCTGCTGTTGTTGCTGTTGCTGCTGGGTTAGGTTTCCTAGCAATGTGCGCTGCTGCTGCTGTTGGTGTTGCTGATAGTAGGTTGCTGGCACTAAGGCAAATCCAGGACGCGGTGTTACGGCAACAACATGCACTTGTTGCTGCTGTTGCTGCTGCTGCTGGGTAATTTGCCCACCAGCAACATGTTGCTGCTGCTGCTGCTGGAAGCTCGTGTGCAGGTGGGTGCGATACTGGGGCATCTTTGGTATCAATGTTGTTGCCGTGGCAGCGACACTTGCCACCGTCGTCGTTCGCGTTGCATGTGTGGCATTGCGTCGATGGTAGGGATGCAATCGCAATTTTCGCCGCCTGCCCAAGGTCGAATTTCGTTGCTGTTGCCCCTGGAACTTGCGACGCAGCTTTCGACGTCCTGGCGTTATGGTTGTTGCCGCCGTTACCGATGCGAAAGTCACCGCTCTCGATCCCGATCCTCCGGCTGTTGCCGTTGCACTTGCCGTCGCAGTTGCCGTTTGTATAATTTCATTGAATTGCCTGCTTATATTGATATTTACACTGCTATTTACACTGGTTCGGTGATGTTTCTGCAGCATGTTGCCCTCGGGCTGTCCATGTTGCTGCTGTTGCTGCAGCGTTTGCGTTATGCAGAATAGATAGACGCATAGGTGCAGCAGTGTTGCTGTTGTTTTTATAACGCGACGGGGCTTTACTGCTGCTCGCAGATGTTTTTCTAATTTACGTGGCTTTATTGACGCGTCGTCTGACATTTTGACAGTTCGTTTGTCAGACGCTGACATTTTCTTTTGTTTGGCCGGAGCTTGAGCGATTTTTCCAAATTAGTATTTAATCATTTTCAATGAGTTTAGCTTATTGGGCATGTGTCCCATTTCGTTTGTGGTTCGACACGGTTTTTAACAAAAATTCCATTCGCACAATAACCTTTTAGGTAATTTATTTATTTTTTTGTAGGAAAGATTTCCTTTAATTTTTAAAAAATTGCAATATTTTGGAAAACATAGATATACTCTTTAAAAAATATTTTAAAATTTTTTCACATTTTTTGATACCTAGTTTGTGTTCTAAAAACTTATAAAATGCTTTAAAAACAAACTTTGCAGCTACATTGCGAAAGCCAATTTACCATCTGCTGATAAATGTTTATTTAAAAGAAACAACATTTGACAATTTGTAAATAAACAAATAATAATTCACAGTTTCAGTTCATCCACAGATGTGTGAATGTTTTGTGTGCAAGCTAATTAGTAAAGGCAAACAAAAATAGCATAGACTCTAAACAAACGTGTTACAATTTGTGGAACTCTCTTGTGTCTGTTTATTGGCTCGTAAATTCGAGGGAGTACAGATCGAGAAACATATAAACAGCTTGAAAACTTTTGGCCCAATCCCAGTGGGAGTTCTATGCAAAAATGGGTCGCTTGAAGCTGATGCAAAAAATATTCGATAAATAAGGAAGCATTAAACCAAACAAAACAAGAGAGAACGCTATAGTCGGGTGCCCCGACTATCAGATACCCGTTACTCAGCTAAAGGGAGTGCGAAAGAGATGGAGAAAAACTTTGATCCGCCGTAACTTTTTAACGAATGGTCCGATTTAAAAAATTTCTTCTACATTTCGATAGGTATTGATAAACACAATAAAACTGCATTTTTACTTTTCCAAAATATTGAAATTTTTAAAATCGTATATAAGCGATTGTGGGCGTTAGAGGGGGCGTGGCACCCTTTTGAAACAAACTTGCGCTGCGTAGGAACTCCTAGAATCTGCATGCAAAATGTCAATCTTCTAGCTTTTATAGTTTCCGAGATCTCAGCGTTCATACAGACAGACAGACAGACGGACAGACGGACATGGCTAGATCGACTCGGCTAGTGATCCCGATCAAGAATATATATAGTTTATAGGGTCGGAAACGCTTCCTTCTACCTGTTACATACTTTTGCACGAATCTAATATACCCTTTTACTCTACGAGTAGCGGGTATAAATATAGCCGAGAGAACGACATAAATTTGCAGGGTAAATCCCATAAACTTATATTTGAAAACTTCATTATAAAAGGGATCGAAGCGGCGAGAAAGAGATCTCTATAATGCTGTGATGCCGGGAACTGAAGCATCCGCTAGATGAAATAAATATTTTCCAGGAAACCCAGCTGCAAACAAATTCGCATACGAGCAGATAGATCTACAAACGATTCGGACAACTCAAGAACCCACAGATGTAGTCAAAAGTAAAGGAAACCAATTTGAAATCGTGATGTAATAAATTTTCAAAGCGAAATATAAAAAAGTTAAGCTGTGAACACAACAAAATGCCTGGCGATTTCGTTTGGTATTGTTGATCTATAAAAAGCCAACCCAGAAAGCAAATGACGCACAGACAGAAATCCACTGATGAATAGTGGATCGTAAATAATCAAATATCGACTGACAAATAGCGAAACGGACAATTCATACATAAATTGAACCCAAAGCCACCTCAACTCAACTCACTTTATATATCCAATCCACAAGTGGAAAATTAGTTGAAAAGGCAACAAAATTTCAAATAAGTGAACAAGTTTTTGTTTTCCTTTGAAATTTAGCGGCTTTCGGTTATTTGATCTTTTTTTCTACTCTTCTGAACAAACCCCACTGAAAAAAGAGCAACATTTTTTCATAATTTTTGTTTTCTTTGGGCATCTTCCGCTTTTTGAGGTTTCTTAGTCATTGTCCAGAGGAGTCTGGGCTTTTTATTTGTTTTTCGGCTTTGTGATGTTGCTGTTCATTTTTTGAGAAGCCTCTCGGCTACCTAATTTAAATTTCTCACATTACAATTAAATTTGAAGAAAACTTGTTCAAAAGATTCGACGACTCTTGGACCGTTGTTTTATGAGTACCTGGGCCGTTTACCTTTCGGCGTAAATTTGACTGCCATGGCATTCCACACATCTGACAGTTTAGTGCCAAATTAATGTAAAATTTTTCAAAAAAAACGTCAGAACTCTGTGCGTATATAATTATTTCTCAAATTGGACCTAATTGAATCTGACGGGCGGGCCACGACCAGTTTTTCGAATGGTTCAGGGGTGTCTGTCTCTCACAGAAAGACTCCAATATTCTCTGACATGGGTTGGTCCTTGGTCGGGGGAAAAAAGAAGGGATTGGAATTTGTTGGAAATACACAAAAAGAAAGTTGTGTATAGCTTAAGATGGAATCAAGCATCAATTAAAATGTAAGCATAAGAATACAAAGAAATAATCATTTAATTTAAAAAAATATTAGCTAGCTCTACGATTGATTAAGCTTAAAAAATGTTTGATCAATATATTCCAAAGCTAAACAAGTTTCCAAAATAAATCAAAATAATTGCTTTCATTAGGCTAATTACTGAATTAAGATATTCAGAAAGATATACTTAATTTTAAACACAATTAATGGCTTTAAACGATCTAGCAATAGATCAGAGAACGCAAATCAATTGATCAAAGAACCTCATTATCGGTTCAACAATATTAGCCCCATTTCCATGACCTCATTTTAAGTTTTAGGAAACCTTTCTCCAATCACCTGCTGTGTCACGATGCCCACATGAATGTCCTACATCGTTTTCCAATCAAAGTTGTGAAAAAGAAATAAACAGCCCCCGTTTAATTTGAGCTCATTAATAACAAACAAAACTAGCTAATCATTTCCTCATTCTGCTGAAAAAAAAATGTGAAGGAAAATAAATATTTCATAAGGTTAGTTTATGACGGAACATGAAGTAAATATTTTTGCTGATCTCTGGTAGCCCACGGCGAGCACTACATTAAGTCATTAACACATTTTCAAATTTACGGAGTGAAAAAAGCGAAATGGAAACTCGATAAACAATTCAATTGCAATTATGCAATAAAGATTGGAAAACCAAAGACCAAACACCAAAGGAAGCGAAACCGAAGACCACTTCCATCTGCGAATCAACATGTGGTCATGTCCAGTTGAGAGTCCGATCAAACGGGTCAGCGGGTGGTTGGTTGGTTGCTCCAGTGGCTGAGCTCTGGAGCTCTGGAAAACATTCAAATACTCCATGGCACTTTTCCACATTTTCTCTGCTGTCTGCCTTCTGGAGTCGAAAGATGAAGGCGTTAAATGATGAGTTTCCCCCAGTGGCCTGGCTCGTTGGCGGGTTTTTCGTGGTGTGAATTGTGAGCACTTGGACATGTGCGAAGTGTTCAACAGATTCTCTAAGTGGGTTACATTTAATGAAGATGTGAATGTGAGGGGCTGGATAAAAGCAGAGTTGCTAGCAGGTGAAAAATCTTAGAAGGCTTTTCTATCGTTAAGCTAAAAAAAATATGTGAAAATTAATGCAGGAAAGTTAAAAAACTAAATGCTAAGAAATACAACCTTTTTGAGATTTTTAACCACATTTCCTTTCACCCTTTCAGTAATAAATCCAGACAATACCATATTTTAAGCAGCTAACTGCTTTCCAAGTAAACTCAGTCATTGAATAAAATACAGGAGCAAAAGTGTCAGATCCCATTATCAAATCCAACTAAACGACCCAATCAATAAAGTGTAGAAATACGATATTTGCTGCTGCCTTCTCGTTTTACCCTCTAGAAAATCAGTCAAATGTTAAGACGACCCGCCGCCTAATTACGTAGAATTGTCACGTCTAATTAGAACACATTCGAAGGAGCCAAGCCGGGTGACACTTTCCCGGCGCTCAGCTCATTGTCAAGATAAATGCGAAAAGCCACGAAATGTTTCACTAACAAAGTTGCAATGGCAATCAACTGGGAAAAACGGGTTTCCAACGCACACACACACACGTAACATTAAATTTTGGGCTTAGACCAAGAAAAATTGCAATGCATTTGGCCGAGGGGTAACGAAACTGGGAGGTAGACAAGCCCAGTAGCTACGCATGCAATGGGCAAGAAAAAAAGGAAAATAGAAATAATGAACCGACATAAGAAATGACTTAATCGCTGGCGGCTTGTTAACCCCAGCCTAAGGCCCCCGACTCCTGCTAAATAAATACATGGGGTTTTCTGAGGGGAGGGGAACGGGAGGACATGGTCTTTAAGTAGCTGCACAAATAAAGATTTACGGCAATTTACTTGAAGGCCTCAACCCATGACTGCTAGTCAATAATTTCTGAGGCCCCCAAATCGCGAATCGTTTGCAGATTATATGTCTGAGAGTTGGTCCAAGCCGAAGTCGAAGCCAAGTGGAGAGTGGGGATAAAGACAGTTGGTTGACGGGTATACAAGGTATACTATAGTAGGATGTGGATAGGGGACCACCGTCAGCGCCTTTGAGGAATTGCATAATTATAGCATTTTCCGGCCAGCCAATGACTGCTTCATCCACATTCCTCTTGGCCCGGCCTAGGTTCAGGCTAATTTGTTTAACATTCTCCATCCTCTAACTTTAACACAATCGATTGTTTGTACATAATCAACGGCATACTCTTGAGGTAGGTGTGCTGAGAATGGATGGTTACAACACGTATGTAAATAAATTCGGAAAATATTTAAATTATTTTGAAAGGGTCTTTAAATTAAATATAATAAACCCATTTACTTTTAATATTATTGTAATTTAATTTAATAATTTGAAAGAACATAAAAATCTGGTTTCCGAATATTTAAGAGATCTTATTTTTTTTTTAACCAGAGTATTTGATTTTCATTATACCAAAGACGTATTACCATCGACTTGTTTTTTGCCATTTTCTACCCTAAGGCAGCGTTTAAGAGTCTTCGTCTTCCACCAGACGACGAGACTCGAGAGAGGGCAATATTTGTACATTGTAAATGCATGATATTGATCTTGATTGTTAAGATCGCACACAGCATGATCGGAGAGTTGGCAGTCTGCCTGCCGGATGGCTAAGTTCGTCTAGTCCAGAGTTCAAACCGCTTGCATTGTTTAACTTTGACTTTGACTTTGTGTCAGTTTATGCCTCTTTCGATAGCAATCAGTGATCGTGGCTGCCGCCTCCAAGAGGGCCAGCCTATCCAAGCCATCTGATTAATCGTGTGCATCGTGGGCCATGGGACTTTTCCCATAGAGTGTAGAAAGTGGCACTCATATGCATACTACACACTATCGACTGACCCAGTCAATATGCCACGGCACTTGTGCAGCTTGATTGCACTTGTCCCGACTGACTGACCACCAGATGCCAACTTTCAAACCGCACTTGAATAAACAATTGAAAACTGGAATATAAATGTGCCAAATGCACAGTTTTTATGAGATCACAAGATGATCTTCGAGTAGGACAAATACAAATACAGCGAGTGTGTGTGTCAGATAACCTAAACTGATCAGCAATTAAGATTTATGTGCCTGCTCTGGGTTTTGTAGGAGGTCCTCTGATCGATTCGAGTGCGATATGATCACGGAATTTAAAGCAATCACTTGAAGAGAAACGAGAAAATCGCGATCGGGATTTATAGCCTTTTAAGGAGTTTTTTGAACAGTGGTGCCAAGAACCTATATCAAAGAATTGTGATCAAAAAATATATTCAAGTTATACAGTTTCCAAGCTTCCTAAAACCGAACAAGAGAGAACGCTATAGTCGGGTTGGTGTCCCGACTATCTAATACCCGTCACTCCGCTAAAGGGAGTGCGAACGCTGTGTCTGGTTGGTGTCCCGACTAATAATCGTAACTCAGCTAAAGGGAGTGCGAGGGAGATAGATATATGTTGACAATTTATAAATCGTATAACTTTTTAATGAATGGTCCGATTTGAAAAATGTCTTCTACATTTCGATAGGTATAAATATACACAACAAAATTGCATTTATACTTCTCGGAAATCTTTAAAGATGTGGGCGCAGGACCCATTTTAAAATCGTTAGTGGGCGATTGTGGGCGTTAGAGGGGGCGTGGCGCTCGGCTAAAATAAACTTGCGCTGCGTAGGAAGCCAAAGAATATGTGTTGGAAATCTCAACCTTCTAGCTTTTGTAGTTTCTGAGATCTCAGCGTTCATACAGACAGACAGACAGACAGACAGACAGACAGACAGACAGACAGACAGACAGACGGACAGACAGACGGACAGACGGACATGGCTAGATCGACTCGGCTAGTGATCCTGATCAATAATATATATACTTTATGGGGTCGGAAACGCTTCCTTCTAGCTGTTACATACTTTTGCACGAATCTAGTATACCCTTTTACTCTACGAGTAACGGGTATAATAAAGACTCTCTCCCTCATATTCTCATATATCTCATATATGTGATTGTACTTAAGTGATCATCACCCAACTCTTGATCGCTTCTCTTCTCTTTTCAGGATACAAATTATAGGGTACCCAAACTTCGAACTCCCGCAGGCCTTTCTGTATGTTTGGTATGCCAATTTAAGCATTTTTCGTTTGTGGTTTCTCTCTCTCTGGTTTTTGCTTGATCTTTGATCTACAATTTGAAACGCCGAACAAGAGTCTTGCAGGGCGGCCGTTAGATCGAACCCGATGCGATCTTTTATTAAGGGAGTAAGAACTTGTTTTTGCCGTGGCTCTTGACTGAGTAGGAAAGAAAACAATGGCCAGGCGCCGCCGCCGCTTTCAAGTTCAATGCGATGCGATACGAAGCGATGACGATGACGACGACGATCCTCCAGATCGATCGAGGAGCGGGTCTAATTGGGTCAGCCGGTCTTGGGAGACTCTGAGCCGTTTAATTGGATTACCGCCTTTTGATTAAGGTTCCCCCTCTCTGTATCGTTCTGTTTTTATTTTTTTTGGCAACACGCGCCCATCCGTCGAAGTTGAGTCACCGGTCGTAAATATAACCGGGCGTTAGTTTTGCAATTATAGAACCTAGAGTCATTTAAATGTGACATATAGGGCTTGCCTATGTTTGAAGAGTCGCATTCCACATTTATCATAGAACAAACAAACCAGTATCTTTTGAGACCGCATGAGCTGATGGAAAAACTCATCTTGAGAGGGAAAAGCGTCTTGTAAATGTTATCTACTGCCAGGGCAAACAGAGTTTCTTAGACAAAAGGCAACTACTGTGGCTGTTTCCGGGGAACGGAATGGAAATAAAAAGGGGGCCAAAATGCCTGGCCCCAGGTTGCAACTCTATTAGCATTCCCAGAACCAGAAACCAGAAGAAAGTCCACGCTGTTCATCCATAAATCTGCTCACTGCTCTCAGCACTGCAGCCCATTAATCATCATGATGTCCCAGTCCAATCATCACTTGGGCTACCAACGAATATGAAAATATGGACCTCTGGGGCGTCGGCTAATGAGTTATGGGTCTCTTTGTGGCTTTGCGTAATCATTTCGGCTATTAGCGCTCCACTCACTGATTTTGTACATTTAATTAAGCGGCTTTTATTGCCTGCCATCTGCGTCTTTGCTCATTTAAGGTGTCTCTTTAGCCTAGCTGGTTATTAAAACTAAGCCCAATGGTAATTACATATGTAAATCCATAAACTCAAAGGCGTCGAATATAACAAGATGAAGCGTTGGGCAACCCTAAATCGAAAACTTGAACCTTCAAAAGAAGTTCCATAAAAATACCTTAATTTCGAGATAAAAATAACTAAAAAATTTTTAGTTCCAATGATATTTTTATTCTATGCTTTCCATCCCAAAATATTGCAACTTAGTAGATCATTTTAATTTTCTTTCACTGTTATTCACCTTCTTAGGTATTTTCACATTTTATTTACTTTCATTGGCACTTGAATAAATTCTTATACTTTTCTTTGCGTAATGATCACCTTTTTTTTAAACCACATACACTTTAGCTATAATCAAATAGTGGGCGTGTCACGATCAAGCGATATCGCGCCAAGATGGGCGATCATCAAATCAATTTTCTTTCTTTGCATTGCAAATTTTTCGTTATCAACATTGGGGAATCGACGATGCGCGGTGCACAAATCAACATAATTGCCCCCGACAAAAGGCGAATCGAGGTGGGGCACACGGACTCCAACTTCGAGTGCAACTTCAACTTCAGGTGGAGTGAAGCGCCAGTCACGTCGCGTTCACGGCGCGTGCGTCGCAAATCAAGTGCAAAAATAGATCAATCAAGCAATCAATCCGTCCAATCGCTCTCAGAGCCAACTCCCAGTTTGTTGTTGTTGGTTTTGGCCCGGCTCTTTCCGATTTTCCAAACGTGCTGAGAAGAGGGGTGCGCGGCAAACCGGTAGAAATCAATCGAAATTCACGAAAATCAATGTCAACATTTTACTGCTGATTCGATTTTTCTCCTTTTTGCCATTTCCTCAGAAGTGCAAGCACACAACACACACAGAAAATCCGAAAAATACAGAATACAAAGAAAAAAGTCTTTTCCTCGGACTTATTTTCTGCACTGGGGATTTAACAATTTCCCACGATCGCGATCGCCGCCGATTTCCATGAATCCAAACGCGCGCGTCGTCCCATTGCAACTGATTCGACTTTTCGAGTTTCCATCGCGATGTTGGGGTCTTTTCTTGGCGCTCGGTTGAGAAACCCGACCGAACGAACGGTCTTCGTGCGCCTTACATTCTCTTCGCCAGACATACTCCCTTTTAATTCTCTTAGCCGGGTATGCTCTTTGGAGCTCTGGATATTCCACCTGTTAACAGTATTATATTTGAACTATGTGCTATTAAATAACTAGGTCTCCAAAATATTAGAATTTTATATATTTTAATACATATTTATAATTGTTGATCTTTTATAAGTTTGGATTAAGATCATTCCGATGTGGGGATTAACGAAAATAGGTATTTGATCATGTTGCTAGATCCGAGGAATGTTGCTGATGTCTAGCAACATTTGTTGCAAGAAAAATAGTATGGGGCTTTAAAAGAGGCTTAGATTTTAAACATTTAAACAATGTTATAGTAATTGCTGATCTAAAAACAACAAGGATCCTTACTTTTAAATAACAAATCTAAAGGGTAGTATTATAAACATTTTTGAACCCTCAAAAGAATTTATAAGTCTTTCCAAACTAATTTCCCTTGGCAACCTATAATCCCCTGTGATCTTAACCAAATGCCATTTCTTACCTACAAAAAATATTATGTATCCGACTGCTGCCCACTAAATTCTTCAAAAGTAGCTTCTTCATCTCTGTGATGCAATGGAGAAAAGTAAAAGAAGTGAAGTGAAGTGAAGTGAAGAAGATCCAAAGACGAGAGGCTGCAAAAACTCTAACAAGAAACCGACTCAAGGAAAACATCTAGCAATTTTTCCATAATCAGCCAGTGAGCCACTAGCTACAAATAGCTTTTGGGTTGTCTGCATATGGGCACCGCACCTTGCTACCAGCAGCAGCAGTGCAGCAGTGGTGGCTGAGATACTCCGGCAATCCGCACCAGACATGGCCAGACCGGCGGGCAGTGAGATCTATCTGGCCTACGACTGGGCCTTTTACACTTGGTCGAAACGAACATTCCATGTCACAAACGCAGTTATTTATGCGCTTCAGACTGGACAGTCGGGACTTCAGACGGACTGAACACCAGACAGAATGTGCCGGCAGTTTTGCTGACATTGTCACATGAACATGTCGCGTTAACCTTTCGTTTCTGGCCAGGCCAAAAACCAACCACAGGGGGTTGGCCATAAGCATTTATGCATGCGAAATCTAACACACAAAACTTATTATTCCTCTCTATGAGCACAACTGTCAATATTTTAATTGCCGACGCAAAAAATATATAAAAAATAGAGGCAAAAAAATAATAAAAATGCAGCCGGTTCAAGTCCAACTTCGAGTCCACTGCGTGTGTCCGCATTCTGTGTGCAGAGAGCAGCGGGAAAATTCATTTTTCTTTCCTTTCTTCTGCTTCTTCTTTTCCTGATGCTCGGCTACTTTTTCCAATATAGCAAATCGTCTTGGAAACGTGCCAAGCATTTTAAAGAGCAAAACTATCACAGCGCCAAAGTGGTTCACATGTGGATCGCTCTTCGGGTTTCGTAACCTTTTTGTCACCAATTAGTTAGGCTCCGCCTAAGTGAGCTATAAAAGTGTCAAAAACCGAAATACTGGAAAAATTCAAAAAAACTTGCTCTGAATTATGGCCCATAATCGGACGAGTGTCGCATAATAAAGAGCCTGATAGTCTTAACATTTCAGTGATTTCTTTTCCGCCGAATTGTTATGGACAAAGCATGAAAAACTTAATTAGGCATCTATGTTATGGGAATTACGTATGCAAAAAAGCGCCCATGAGACCCCACACTCGCTGGGTCTGCATTGTTTGGGGTGTGTTTTCAACGAATCCAGAAGTGGTTTTCGGTGGGGGAGTTGATCTCTGGAACCAGATATTATTGGGGTCTGGTCTACATAGCAACACGTGCCGAAGTGCAGCCGAAAATAAAGCACTTTGTTGATCTTATCGGCAGCCGACCAAAATTACAATTGAAACAATTAAAGCGCATAAGAAATGCTTATAAATAGGTTGCATGCACTTCTGAAATCATGGCCACTGATTGGGGTGAAGTAGAAACAAGGTCAAATGGTTGGATTAAAAATATGCTTGCTTGGAGTGAAATCCCGAACATTGATAAAAAATTTTTAAATTAAATAAACTAATCATTATTTCTAAACTATATTAAATTAAATAATTTCTGAAGTACTTGAATCTACAAAATATACCATTTTTGATAATTAGTATGAATGAGTACACACTTTATATTAGAGTTAAGCTATGGTTCTTATTTATAAAGAGGTTAAATAAAACTGGATGAAGTCAGTAAGAGGCAAGTGTCTAACATTCAAATACTTAAATTGGATTATATTTGCCATAAAAACCTAACCCAATCCCATCTGATCGCAAAGCTAACGAGGAAATCACTTAAGCGATTTTACGCCAGAAATGTCAAAGTCAGGCGTAGTAAATTTTTAAATAAAATCTGACATACCCCCTACGTTCATATCTCATAAACCTCCAACTGCAAGGTAACAAAGAGTAAATGCAAAGATTTAAATCAGCCGCAGATTGGTTGCGGTCCCGCGAAAAGAGTGAAAGAAAAGCTATAAAAAAACAAGGAAAATGGAGAAAATACTTTGGTCGTAAACAGGAAATCCTACACACAAACTTCTAAGCTGTGCAGCAAATTATCAAAACGCCAACATCTTTTTGACAAACTGCGAACCGAACCCCCATCCCCATCCTCATCCCCATCCCGTCGATCTCGTCTCCCAAATTCCCCTTGGTGGTCCCGACCGACACACACATTTCTCATTTCACATTGCTTATTGGAGAAGAACGGACGCGAGTCGCGCTTAAGACAACTTTTCTCTGATTTGTTGCGATCGCAATCGGTTATGGAGTTTGGAATACGTTCCAGTTACTCCTGCTCCATCTCCTGCTCCTGCTCCTCTCCAGGAGAAGAACTCTCGTTCTCGAGGTCCATGTCCATTACATGGCTCGTTTGGGAGATCGGTTTGACGATTGACGTGCCTTACCGTAATTTTTCATGCAATGATCTTTTCTTTAACGGCCTCCCATTCTCGGAGTCCTCTCGGTCGTCATTCAACGCATCGTTGACCTATTGAACCATAATGCCGCTGGAGTCGCCGCTTGCAATGCACATGTGCCGCAAAAGGATCGGATGGGATTGGATTGGAATCGGGGAGAATCGGAGGAGCCGGCTCTCAGTGCAAGGTCTCCTAACCCTTTCTCTCTCCTCCAGTCACGTATTTTCTCCAAACTTTGGAACCTGTTCCTGCCGCTACTTTTCTCGCATGAATCATTATTTGTTGTGCTAAGCCCAAGATCGCCGAGATCGGAGGTTGGGAGGAGGTAAGGAAGGTTCCTTGGCCACAGACAGCTGCAAGTTTGGCCAGCTGAGTGCCGCTGGGTGCAGTCGAGGCCTCCTCGTTTGCGATCATTTGTGATTGATACTATTTATTGGTTGTTTTGGCTTTGGCCTGTCCAAGAAGATACGCCAGTTGAATGGGCCGCTACGCACGGCTTTCACCAGGGTTGTCAGGTGTTGCTAACAAATATTATATGGGTGCAGTTCCTGCTTGAAAGAACATTCTAATGTTTATTATTATATTATCCCCAAATAATTTATTAAATTGGTCTTAAATTATGTGTTCTGAATATATGATTTTAAAGTAATTGAAAAAGTCTTCGAGTAAGTCATACATTTCAAAATTCAAGGCAAAACTCTTAAAAAACTCAAGATTAAAAGGGATTTTAAAAAACCCAAGTTTATATATATTTTTATACCAAAAGAAAATAATATAAATTTAAACTAAACATTTCCCCTTTTTTTCCAGAATATCACTCGACAGCCCTGTTTTTAGCTTGCATCTCCTGTTAGTTTTATATACCCTAACTGCTAATCCCTCCTTTTTCCTTCGAATTTTCATTCGCTCCTAACCCAAAGCGCCTGTTGATGATAGAATTTCACCAGCGGCTCTAAATGTTTTTCAATTTCTAACTCCGAGGTTGTTCGTCCCCTAGGATATCTCTTTGTTGGATACCTCATCCGCAGGCCCAGCCAGGCACCTTTATAGATTACACCCGGGCTCACATCTACCATGTTTATCTATGGACACGTATCCGCGTATCCGGCGTGGAGCGTGCGAAAAAGTGGGCGTCCTCGGGTTAGCGCAATCTTCGACCTTTTGATCTTGTTTCCACAGCCAGCTTTTTCCTTTTATTATTTTTTTGTATTTTTAGCCAATGTGTTTTTGGCCAGGGGCAAGTTTTTTTGGTGGCTGCAACTGTTGCATCGCCGCCGTTGCAACTGTTGCAACTTCCTTTGCGTGTCAAGTGCAAATGCATTAAATTTTGACGTTGGCCAAATGTTGGCTTTGCTTGTTGCGGTTCTCTTATGTGTTTTTTTTTTGGTGCGACGGCAGCTGTCGTCTTGATTTTAATTGATTTTTTCAACTTGCTTAAATTGGCGGCAAAATCTTTGTTTTAAGTAGTGAGGGAACGTGTTGCTATGGGCGAAAGTTTATCGTGGCCGAAAAATTGTCAGAAATTGAATAGATAAATAGGTAAATTTATGTGGTATTCGCTTTCGTCGCTTTGTTAAATTTAAAGTAGGCTTTAAACCTTGAAATTCTATGGGAAATCAGAGTTTAAAGCTTCCATTAAATGTAACTGGCATTAAATTATAGTAGTGTTAAAATTTGAAAGCCTTATGAAACTCAAATTTTAAAGCCAACTTCAACTTTGACATGCGGACGAGAAACGACCCAAAATATATTACATTATTTATTATTTTGATGTATTATAAAAACGCGTATCTGTTTAAAGAAAACGACCATCTGAACAAAAGATCATAAATATGATCGTTTTTAAAGCCAACTTGTAAATTAAAATACTATAAATGCAAAACGTTTTTAAAATTGCCTACTTAAAGTTCCCGAAATCGACAACTGTTAATCGTGAAAACTCCTCTATCCACCTTTATCTGCATCCATTACCATCTTGTAACAATATTCCGCCCAAACGGCCAGCAATTTATGGCGCCTGTCATCATTGAAATTAGCAATTTTGTTTAATTGCAATTTACTTTTATTAAGCAAACAACAATTTCCGTTGGCGATGCCAACTGCAAATGGATTGCTTGACGATCTTGGCCGTTTGCCTTGTTAATTGCACTCGTGATTTACGTTTTCGAGTGTCAACGCACGCAACGAGGCGGATGGCGATGAAGTACGGTTAAGATGGTCACAATCCTCTCGAAGATCGAGGGAGGCGTACTATTTACATGGCCGGATTGATTAAACGCCTCGAATTGACTTCAGTTTGCGTGCAGCTTGAAAAATGGTGATTGATTGAACGCATCGCAGGAAAGTCCAAGAGAAAGATGGGAACGCCCACCAAAAAAAGAAAGAAAGAGCCAAAGCTCTGGGCCAAAATGCAATCATTTTATCTAAATGCATTTGACATGTCTTGGCGATCACCGGTGGAACCGACATATAAAACTAATGGCACAGCGAAACTTTCAGCTTTCAGAACTTTCAGTGCTGTTTTACGAAAAGTAACTACCTCAGTATACGATTTTACGATTTTTTAATGTGCTTGGCATGCGTTGAAAGCATTCTAATAACCGTAAAATGGGAACTGGAAATCTTTTCCGGATGACTCAGGCTTTTTCCATGAGAATTCAATCTTCGATCAAACTAAAAGAGGAATAATTACTTATCAGCATACATTAATTAAGGAAAATAGCAAGAGATACCATATTTTACTTTCTTTTTAAGCTATAAAAATAGTTTTATGTGGTTTCTTAGGATATAACATAAAGTTAGAGAAAAATAGCCCTGAAAAACCAAACCAAATCTCTGATACCTCATGTCCATGTGAAAGCACCGACAAGAATAAAGAAAAAGCTGTCACCTGAGCTGACATTAATTGTCTGCCGTGATATATATATTTTTCTGGGACCACACGAAGATCTGCAAAACTCTTTGGGAATATGACAGCCGACCAAGAGATCTGCATTGTATGTGAAATACTGCAACATTGTGTGTCCAACTGCTGGACTGTATCTCCTGTAGCTCTGTCATAAGAAATGTTGGCAACTTTATCAGGAGCACAATTTAAATGTCAAGTTGATGACGTGTCGTGTCTGTTTGCCTCCAGGTTGCTGACGTTGTCGTTGTGGTTCTGGATCTGAATCTCGGATGTGGAGTCTTTCGTAGTCTGATGACTGTGCAGCTGGCACACCAAATCGCAGCCGGCAAACGGAAGTGCAGCAGTCTAAACAAATTCAAGTGAAACCGCAACTGCGGGAACATGGGATGTGGATGTGCTAATCGTCCAAAGCATGAAACACGTTACAAATGCATTGCTATATTAATGAAGGGGGTAATTTTATAAGAAAAATGCATTTTTCCGATTATTATATTTTCAGAACTCGTAGTTTCAGATGCAGTTGAGGGGGAAGATCATTAATAATATTAGTTTCCTTATAGGTTAGTTTATAATATATTCCATTTTGATTGAAATCGAAGTTTGGAATATTTTCTTGACTTTATAAAATATTTACTCATTTCTCTTTCACCTCCCTTAACTTCCTACCATTAAATAAAATGATTTTCATAATTATAATTACTTCTATAACTTCCAAGCACCACCTTTATTCATATTTTGTGCATACAGAACTTTCCTACCGACTATTAATGATTCACAGATTCATCATCTCACACCTCGTCGCACACAAATTGAAGCGGAGAAAAGGGGCCAAAGCCAGCGCTCGTTAGTAGTTGCACACCTCGTTCAATGGTTTTATGCAAAAGGGTCCAATGGAGTCGCAGTCGAGTCTTCAGGGTAACAAGATCATTAACGTGCCACATGCTGCTGACGGTCAAAATTCAAAGCCGCCACAGTAGCCACGGCGGCAACATCATCAGAAGGAGGAGGAGAATGGGGAGACCATCTGCCGTTTCCATAAATAAAAAAGGAATCCCCCATCCCGACTTCTTCTTCGCTGGGTTTTCAGCGGTTGGCAGCTGAAATTATGACTGGGTCGTCAGCAGCAGGTTGGTTGGCTCCTCTGCAGTCCGGCGACTCTGGAGGAAAGCCGAAAAAGCGACCAAAAGCGGAGTTTAGAGCTTTGAGATCCCTGGCTTTTTGTTGTCCACCGCCTCGGGAGGTTAGTCACACATGCGCGGTGATAATTCAACGGCATAGCAACATTAAATGGTAGCAGGCTGCAATGAATCCACGATGAATCCACCATCCTATCCACCGTCCGCAACATGTTGCCGGTGTGTCTTGTTAGTTGTGAGCGCAGAAATCGTGACAAAGTGTTGCCATTGTTAGGCGCAAATGAAGAAAATGCCATTGTGGAAAAGTCGCTGCGCGAAAAACAATTGCCGTGCCTTGTTGTTGTTGCTGCTGCCGTGAAAATGCTTCGCGCACGTTTTCTAATCAATCAATGTGCTGTTAGAAGCCACAAAAAAAAAACCGAAATATTTTGTTGCCATGTCTTCGGGCACAAAAAACCGAAGATTCAGAGTCCAACGAGTTGTCATTTAGTTCAGAGAAGGTTCCTAACCAACACATTGTAGACCTGGAGAAAGTATTGCGAATTTTAAAGATCCTACAAGGAAAGTCTGGCCAGAAAGTAAGGGGAATAATTTACTGAAGATATGATCGTGTGGGCATGAAATGTGCCAGAGTCAGCGATAAGTAGTGGTTGATGGCATCAAAAGACCTTAAACTTACAAAAATAACCAGCTGTTTTTTATAAAATTAACAGAGTGCAGAACTTAGATTACCAACTAGATAAAGAAGAGTTGTAGGTTTGTCTAGTTATTTTTTTAAATATCTCATTGATAATATTTCTATTTTGACAAAAAATATGATATTTAAAATATTATTTTAAATATATAGATATTTTTGTATCTTTATTTTTGATACTTTTATATCATCACTTTAGAATTAAAAGGAACCAACGCGAAAATATAAAAACTAATTAAATCATA